ATAGGGATGAAAGTTCACGTGCTCACCTGCCCCTCATCTCCTGTTGTTCAGCCCGGTTCCTAACAGGCCACCGACCAGTACGAGGACTGGGGACTCCTGCTGGATGTCAGAGAGAGCCTGGACTCTGGTCCCGTCATCGTCAAGTCAGAGGCTGAGAAACCCCCTTGACAGCCTGTTTTTGAGAAACAAAATCACTCTCCAACACCAACAACAGAAAGGGGGAGAATGATCTTGAGTCATTTGTATGGGACACAGTTAAAATCCTACCCGGCCGTACTTAGTGGGGGGTGGGGAGGCAGCTGCCACGCCCATCTGTGGTTTCCAAAACCATCATCCCTACAGCTCTGAGGAGGATGAAAATGTGCGTTAAGGGTGTTAAATTCATTCTCTGCCCTTCTGTGTTACACTGGATATTACGGATCAAAGACCATGCTCAGAGGACAGCCATAAAATTGGTTGATCTATGACCTTTTTCAGTTTGAGATTTTTGCCTTTGGCCACAACGTTAGAGATTTTTTTTAACAAATGCCAAGCACAGCCTGTGGGAGCTCCACATTGTCCTCTGGTTGGTTCACTCCCTGCCGAGTCTGCTCTGGTTCCTTGAGGTTCTTGGAATGGCTGCCTCACCTCTTTTCAAAATCCCTCAGTCCCAGGCCGTGCTCATCCGGTTCCCCCTGCCTAGAGCGCCCTTTCTCTCCCTGAGTGGACTCGCTCCCTCATCCTGCAGGTCTCAGCTTTGATGTCACCCCCTCCAGGAAGCCTCCATGATACACCCCGCTCACACAGACTGATCAGTTTCTCTCACAGGGCTGCTTGATGGCGGGGCTCTCCCCCTGGCTCAGCCCCAAGCAGGGCATTCATGGGGGAGAGATCGATGGGCAAGTTCCTTTTTCTTCCAGCTTCCCCACCCTTCCTGTTCCCCTGTCCTGGGCAGTTTTCTCCTGACTCAGACCTTCCGTCTCCAACTTTCCTTCCATTTCTGGCCAGACCATCCAGATGCCCAGCTTTCTTCCTCCCTCCAAGAGCCCCTGCTTCCCTTGGAAGCCTCTTGTTCACTGGATGCTTTTTTCTCTCCTGACTCGCTGTAGCTGGTCCCCCCCACGGCTCTGCTCCTTCCACCCAGGCCTGAGCCTTCGTCCTCTCTGCCCATCCGAGACCTTCTCCCAGGCCCTTTGGCCGCCCATCTCCTGGCCCACCGGAAACGATCCTGTGTCGGTGGCAGGGCCCAGCTGAGGACGTGGTGCAGAGAATGAATGGGGGGGTGTGGGCGAACTGAGCCACTTCCTGTCCCCCTGCCCTGCCTTGTCCTCCTTTCCAAGAAGGCATGTGTGTGCAGAATGAAATCATATTAAAAATCCCCGCCAGGATCCCAGCTTCAGGGCAAGTCAGTGACGTGAGCGGGGAAAGAGCTTTCCCTGACAACCCGAGAAGTAGCAATAATCCTCTGTGGTTGGTAGAATGTCCCCTCCACCCAAAAAAAAAATCCACATCCTGATCTCCAGAACCTCTATGTATGTTACGTGGCAGAGCTCAGCTTAGGGCGTGCTCAGCCATGTCCAACTCTGTGTGACCCCATGGACTGTAGCCCGCAGGACTCCTCTGTCCATGGGATTTCTCGGGCAAGAATCCTGGAGCAGGTTGTCATTCCCTTCTCCAGGGGATCTTCCAGGGATCAAACCTGAGTCTCTGGTGTCTCCTGTGTTGGCAGGCAGCTTCCTTACCACTGTGCCACCTGCAGACCTGGCAGAGTCTCTTTGCACATGTGATTAAGTTCAGGATTCTGAAATAGGCCTGATGGGGGTGCGCCTGATGTAATCATCATGAAGGTCCTTATAGGGAGGAGACAGGAGGTCAGAGGGAAAGAGCTGAGCTGCTGGCTGGGACGAGGAGGCAGGCACCCCATGCCCAGGTGTGTAGGCGTCTTTCGACGCTGGGAGAGGTGGGAACAGAGTCTTCCCTGGAGCCTGAGGGCCAGCTTAGACTCTGACCTCTGCAGCTAGGAGGTGTGAGGTTCCTGTTATTTCAAACCACTCGTTTGTATTCACTGGTCACAGCAGCCACAGGCAGTCCTACAACTTCACCCTGAGTTTACATTTGAGTCCGACGCATTGGGAGGCCAGCAGTGGAGCCGAGGTTGGGGAATGAAGCGCTTTAGGAGGATCCCATTGGCTGCATGCAGGGGCTTGGTTGTCAGGGAACAAGGGTGGAAGGAAATGGGGGGAGCGGGGAGGGGGCCCCGGCGATGGTCACTTGTGTGGGTCAGAGGCCGTGGTGATGGATAGTGTGGATGGATGACTGCACACACATCCCAGGAGTGGGATGTACATGACACATACCTGATTGGACCTGGGAGCATGGAGGAAAGGGGATCAGGGATGATTCCCATGTTTCTGGTCCTTTCTTGGGGTCGGAGCATCGAAGGGAAGGATCCGGATTTGACAGAGCCCAGACCAGTGCCCAGGTCTCTTACCACTTCCCAACTGGCGCCAGTGGTAAAGAACTTGCCTTCCAATGCAGGAGATGTAAGAGACGCAGGTTTAATCCCTGGGTCAGAAAGATCCACTGGAGGAGGGGTTGGCAACCCACTCCAGTGTTCTTGCCTGGAGAATCCCCATGGACAGTGGATCCTGGCGGGCTGTGGTCCACAGGATCGCAAAGAGTCAGACACGACTGAAGTTTCTTAGCATGCGTGCATGTACAGACCAGTGCCATGGTTTGGAATAGGGATGGGGGAGGGAACCAAGGCAGATTGGGAGGCTGTGGTCTCCAGGAGGGCGTTTCAGCAGGTCCAGATTGTTAGATGTGGCTTGGATGGAAGAGGCAACAGTCCCCTGTGATCAAGCACTGTTCAGTGAGCTCCTGCTGTGGACAAATTCTGTAAATTGTGAATATTACGATTGTGTGGGGAGGAAGTTTGTGTGCATATTTCAAGGCTGGAGCTCATGTTTGGCCATTTGAGGGTGTCACTTTGACTGCATTTTGTGGGAGAGGGAAACTGAACCTATTGCTACATAAGAGGTCACCCCAAAACATAGCAGGCTTAAGGAAGAATGAACATTTACTGTCTCACACCATGTCTCTGGGTCAGGGATCTGGGATGGGTCTGGCTCGGTGGTTCCGGCTCAGGGTCTGTCATGGCTGTAGTCATCTGAAGGCTTGGCTGGGGGCACAGATCTTCTTCCATGTTGCACATGGTGGGCGTGACTGTGCTGGCTGTTGGCAGGGTCTCACCATGGGGGCTTCTCCCGAAGGCTGGTTGAGTGTCCTCATGACCTCGCGGTTGGCTTTGCTCAGAGTGAGTGATTCATGGCAGGGCAGGACAGAAGCTATGATGTTTTCTGCAACCTAATGTTGCAGGTGACAACTCTCTCCATTTTTTGACAAAGTTGTGAAGTCATTTCTCCAATATCCTGTTCTGAGTGGGAGGGGACTTCACAGGGGTGTGTAGGAGACTTCTGATTTCTCAACATCCCTGAAACCTTGTTATCTGACTTTTTGATGATAGCCACCCTAGTGGGTGTGAAGCAGTATTTCTTCCTGGTGTTGGTTTGCATTTCCCTGATGAGGTAAAGAAGTTAAGCAACATTTCATGTGCTTATGCCATTCACATGTCTTCTTTGCACCTTTTAAAATTGGGTTGTCTTTTTTCTTACTGGCTTATAAGAGTTATTTTATTTCCTCTGCTTATCAATACAAGTCCTTTATCAGATTTTTGACTGGCAAATATTTCCTCCCATTCCATGGGTTGTCTTGTCACTTTCTTGGTAGTGTCTTTTGAAGCTCAAAAGTTTTTGGTTTTGATGAAGTTCAATTTATTTTTTCTCTTGTTGCTTGTCCTTTTGGCGTTGTATTTAAGTATCCATTGCTAAATCCAAGGTCATAAAGATTTTACCCCCTTGTTGCCCTCTAAGAATTTTACGGTTTTAGTTCTATATGAAGTCTTTCATCCATTTTGAATTAACTTTTGTATACTGTGTGAAGTAAGGGTCCAACTTCATTGCTTTGCCTGTAGCTATCTAGTTTTTCAACACCATTTGTTGAAAAAACTATTCCTTTCCCATTGAATGGTCTTCACAACTTTGTCAAAAAGCAATTGGGTTTATTACTGGATTTTGAATTGGGTTGCATTGATTTCTGTTTATGCCCATCCTCATGCCTATCTCTGGGGTTTCCCTGGAGACTAAGACGGTAAAGAATCCACTTGCAATGCAGGAGATGTAGGTTTGATCCCTGGGTTGGGAAGATCCCCTGAGAAGGAAATGGCAACCCACTCCAATATTCTTGCCTGGGAAATCTAATGGATAGAGGAGCCTGGTGGGTTACAGTCCTTGGGGTCACAAAACAGTCGGACGTAACTTAGCGACTAAACAACAGCAACATGCCTGTCTTGATTATGGTTGTCCCATAGTGAGTTTTTACCGAAGTTTAAACTCTGGGAGCTGGTGATGGACAGGGAGGCCTGGTGTGCTGCAGTCCATGGGGTCGCAAAGAGTCGGACACAACTGAGCAACTGAACTGAACTAAGTTTTGAAATTGAAAACTGTAAATCCTCCAACTCTGCTTTTCTTGTTTAAATTGTTTTGACTCTTTTTGATCCCTGGAGTTTCCATATGAATTTTAGGATTAGCTTGTCCATTTGTACAAAGAGCTTGGATTCTGATAGAGATTGCATAGATTCTGTAGGTTACTTTGAGACTGGCATTCTTCTGTGCCCTTCTCAAGTAAGTCATTTAATTTTCACAAAAGCTCCGGGAAGCAGGTCCTACTTTTCCACATTGTACAGATGAGGAAACTAAGAGCTAGAGAGGTTAAGACACTTGCCTAAAGTCACACAGCTGGCCGGGGCCCTGAGTCTGTGGTCGTCACCGCCATGCTCAGCTGCTTCTCTGCAGGCCTGGAGGGCCAGGCCTCCCTGGGGGTGGGCTTCTTCGGCCTCCTCCCCTCTGGTGGGCTGAGGGTCTGGCAGACCCCAGAGCCGCTCCTCACTCCTTGTGTTCCAGGCAGCCGGTGAAGATCGTGTACTCCTCCAAGGACCCCGCCAAGCCCAAAGGGAGCTCCAAGGTGGATGTGAACGAGGAGGCCGAGGCTCTGATTGTCAAGTCGCCCCAGAAGGAGCGGGACCCGTCCCTGTTCAAGGTGTTATACAAGACCTTCGGGCCCTACTTCCTCATGAGCTTCTTGTTCAAGGCTGTGCACGACCTGATGATGTTTGCCGGCCCAGAGATCTTAAAGTAAGCCCCGCCCCCCCCATCCTCAGCCGGGCAGTCCTTTGCGTCCTTGACCTTCTACTTGCGACACCCCTCACCCTCCCTTGGGGTCACACGCTCAGGGTTCCCTGGGCTCAGAGCCAAGTCTCCCCATCCTCACCCGCTTTGCCTGGTGCTTTGCTTTAAGAAGCCATCGTAAAGTCCTGTTAAACCACAATGGTTATAAGAAACAGAAACCTACCAGGCTCCCCTGAAGCCAGAAGGGAGAAGACGGAGGCTTATCTTGGGAAGTCAACAGCAGGGATGCAGGGTAAGGGAGTTAGAGAAGGCGAGGTTCGGTAAAACAACGAGACCGGCACTTTACAAGAACAGATCACCTTTAATGAGGCGAGAAGGGGCAGCAGTCAGATTAGGGAGCTGCTGCACTAACCCAAGAAAAGAGTAAGGATATGTAGGCATGTCTGTGGAAATCTACTGTCTTAAGGGGCCTATTCTCCAAGGTTGTTCGGATTAGTTATCTCTTGCTGGGCAAGGAATTAATCAACCTTACTGTGCATTTTTTCCTTCGGGTGTGAGAGTTCTTTGTTTTGCATAGAATGGTGGGTGTGAGAGTTCTTTGTTTTGCATAGAATGGGGGGTGGACCCGGAGGAGAATTTTAACTCCAGGCTATTCTGAGCCACCTTAACTTTCCTTCAAGGGAAGTTTCAGATTGTGTGAAAGCTGCTAGCTGAAATAGGAAGGGAGGTTTACCTCTGTTTACCTCCCTCCCTCTCTCCATCTCTGCTTCTCTCTCTCTCTTTAGGGCCACGCGTTTGTTCTCTTTCCCTTCTTCTCTCCGCCCTGTGCTCCCTTTTGGGTCCCTCTTGGGTGATGAGGTGGAGCGGTCAGTGTGAGGGCTTCACCCCTGCACGGGCAGCCCCGTGTGGGTTGTGCTTCCCATCTGTGAACCAAAGCGAGAGTGCCCGACTCACTGGGCTGGCTCGGGAGAGCGTCACCTGCTGACACCAGAGGGCTTACCCACTGCGTGGACACGTGTTGTAAGGTCTCTCACGCCGGGTTCTGTCCTTGCTGCCCCGCAGGTTGCTCATCAACTTCGTGAATGACAAGAAGGCCCCGGACTGGCAGGGTTACTTCTACACGGCGCTGCTGTTCATCAGCGCCTGCCTGCAGACCCTGGTGCTGCATCAGTACTTCCACATCTGCTTCGTCAGCGGCATGCGCATCAAGACGGCTGTCATTGGGGCCGTGTACCGGAAGGTGGGGGGCGGCCCACCGTGGAACCCACAGGGGTCGGGAGGGCTTGGCTGGGTCGCCTCTCAGGCCCAGCTTGCAGAGCAATGGCATGAAGGTGGCCTGAATGTCTGTGGGTTAGCAGGCTGTGACCATCAGGCTTGATAGCTTAGCAGAGCTACTCCCAGAGGCTTGTCTGGGGTGGGGTTGGGGGGCGCCCAGGAGCCCCCTGCCTGGTCTGCTGCAGGTAATTGCATTTCTTGATTTGGGACGATCCAGGTTCAAATCCTCGCCTACTGTTAATATTCTATGTGTGAGCATGTTCTGACTCTCCATCTGAACCAAGAAGATGGTACCTTCCCTGGGTGAGAGACCCTCAGCACGGACAGCCTTAAGGGAACTGAATTACCTCCTCGGTCCCTTCATTTCTTAGCCTCTGGGCCCCACAGGTTAGGAAGAGACTTTTGGGCAACTGGTGGGGAAAGATGGATTTGATCGTTGACTCTTAGCCCTGTCTGCATGTTAGACTCACCCAGAGAGCTTCAGAAACTTCCAAGGATCGGGCTGCACCCAAATCAAGTCAGAATCTCTGTCAGGAGTTTGGGGGGCCTGGCATCAGTATTTGTAAAACTCCCCAGGTGACAGCATGAAGCCATCAGGAACCAGGGTGGGTTTATCCCTCCAGGACATGTTGGCAATGTCTGGTTGTCATAACTGGGGGTGGGGGGTGGGGGAGGGTGGGCGTGTATCTAGTGGGTGGAGACCAGGGATGTTGCTAAACGTCCTGCAGTGCTCAGGACAGCCCCCCAGAGAACCATCTGACCTCAGGTGTCAGTAGTGTCACGAATGAGAAACCCTGGCTGAGACCTTGGTCCTTCAGGGTGAAGTGGGGACCGGCAGTGTCAGCATCTCCTGGGGGCTTGTTAGCAATGGGTAGTCCCCCTCCAGGCTTACTGAGTCAGAAATTGCATTATAACAGACTCCCTGGGGGGGGGTGTGTGTACACGTACACACTCAAGTGCATGAAGCCTGGGTTTAGGCAACCTCTGAGGTCCCTTCTGTACTGAAGGGCTCAGGATGGGGGGAGACAGTGGGTGCTGTCGATAAGAGAGGGGCCTTTTGATGAGACACACTGGCTGGGGAGGCAGATAAGCCACCCGGGGAGGAGAAAGCAGCGACCTCTCCGCTGGTGCGCTGTCTCCTTCCTCCACGTGGGCCTGGACGGGGGCCCTGGCTGTCCCCCGCCACACCCACCCTCTCCCTCTTCTTCGTCCCGCAGGCCCTGGTGATCACCAATGCGGCCAGAAAGACCTCCACGGTCGGGGAGATCGTCAACCTCATGTCCGTGGACGCCCAGAGGTTCATGGACCTGGCCACGTACATTAACATGATCTGGTCAGCCCCTCTGCAAGTCATCCTTGCCCTCTACCTCCTGTGGCTGGTGTGTGTTCGATGTCATATCCGTGGCGCTTGGGGAGGGACCTCCATGTGTGGGCAGCGGGGGGCGAGGGAGGGGGTGCCAGGGATAAGAATCTCCGTAGCTCACTGGCATTTCTTTAAAAAAAAAAAAACTTTTATTTTGTATTGGGGTATAGCTGATGAGCAAAGTTGTGATAGTTTCAGGTAATAGCAAAGGGACTCAGCCATACATGTACATGTATCCATTCTCCCCCCAACTCGCCCCCCTCATCCAGGCTGCCACATAAACTGCTTGCTGGCATTTCTTGCCACCATGCACATTTTATTTTCTGGCCTGTCAGCCGACTCCTGGATATTTTGTTCCTTTCTTAGTTGTTGGGTCATGTTCTCTCAGGTAGCATGGTATTTATTTGCACGTGTCTCTTCTTGACAGTGTGTGTAGTTAACCACCCTGTAACGTATCCATTGTATGTCTTCCTCTGAGTCTTCCCAAACACTCAGCAAACTCATTTACTCATGAGTCCTAGATTATGTTGGTCTTTTGGTTGCAGGGGGTAGAAGTGCATTTTAGAGCAACATAAGCAAATAAGGGAATTTTATGGGTGTGGGTAACTGAAGAATCTTGGGGATTGGCTTCAGGTATGGATGGATCTGGGAGTTCAAGCAGTGCTGTAAGGACACAGTCTCATGCCCTCATCATTTCTTAGCTTGGTGTTTCTCTGAGTTGACTTCATTCTCAATGGGATTTCTTCACACGGCTTCCATAGCTTTGGGTTTATATCATCTTCACAGGTGTTGGTGCCAGACAAAAGAAAAGATACTCCTTTCCTTTTTGTCGCAGTCAGACTCCCAGGGAGCACTGTGGCCCAGCACAGTCCCATTCACATTCTTTAAAAAAATCAGGGTGAAATAGCATTCTCCGATTGGCCAGCCTGGGTCACGTGCTCTCTCTCATTGTGGAAGGGGTGTGATTGACAGCCCTTCCACATGGGGAAGGGCAGTTCCCCAAATATGAAGATGATGAGCAAAGATGCTCATAGCCTGATCCATGCCTTACTCTTTCTACCTCTGGGCCTTTGCACATGCCTTTCCTTCCACCAGGAATTCCCTTTCCTCCCTACTGATGAAAAGGACTTCCAGACTATCCCAGACTTTAAGACTGTGATAAATACCACTTCCACATACCAGTCCACTTCATGGACTTCTTCATCAGGCAGGTGTCTTGGGGCATCTACTTCCCCAGAAAGTGCTGTCGTGGAACAGTCCTTTTAGAATTGCCTTCAGGGTTGATTTGTGAACCACTGAGAAAATGGCTTTATTTTAAATGAGAGTTGCTGAAAGTGTTATTGACATATGAGGCAGGATAATTCTTCATTGTTGGGGGCTAATGTGTGTATTGTACTATGTTTAGCTGCATCCCTAGCCTCTCCCCCAGAGATACCAGTCACATACCACCTCTTCATCCCCACACTCCCACCACCACTTGTGAAAAGGTCTCCAGACGTTTTCAGATGTCCCTTGGGGGAATATGCCTCGCTGGTTGGGAACCGCTGCTTTAGACCAAAATCAAGCTTCAAGAACATAGGATAACAGGCAACAAGATGGCTCTGAAATAGGGCTGCCCTGGTTCAGATCCTGCCTCTTGCAGCTCTTATGGCTTAATGTCACGACGTCTTGATGTCCTCATCTGTAAACTGTTGACAGTCAGGAAACATCACTGCAGTGATTGAGGTCAGGACAGTTGAATGAATTGCTGCAGGTAGTGTGCCCTGAGCAGTACATGGTACAGAGATGTGCCCCGTGTCTTTTAGTTACTATGATTTGCTTTCAGAGTTGATTCTGAATGCTTCAGATCGTTGGTAGAGATCACCTTCATTCTTAGAGGTGGATTAATCTTCACTGAGCAGAGCTCCATCACAGAAGACATTTGGAGCAGCTGTTGTTCAGTTGCTCAGTCGTGTCCAACTCTGTGACCCCATGGACTGCGGCACGCCTGGCTCCCCTGTCCTTCACCATCTCCCAGAGCTTGCTCAAACTCATGTGCATTGAGTCATTGATGTCATCCAACCATCTCATTCTCTGTCATCCCCTTCTCCTCCTGCCTTCAATCTTTCCCAGCATCAGGATCTTTCCAATGCATTGCCTCTCTGCATCAGGTGAACAAAGTATTGGAACTTAAGCTTCAGCATCAGTCTTCCAATGAATATTCAGGGTTGATTTCCTTTAGAATTGTCTGGTTTTATCTCCTTGCTGTCCAGGTGACTCTGAAGAGTCTTCTCCAGCAACATAGTTTGAAATCATCAATTCTTTGGCACTCAGCCTTCTTTATGGTCCTACTCTCACATCCATACATGACTACTAGAAAAACCATAGCTTTGACTAGACAGATTTTTGTTGGCAAACAGATAGTAGAGCAGTAGCTTGGAGCAGTAGCGCAGCTTTTTGGTAACTAGGGCTGGAACACCCAAGGGTGACTCCTTGTAAGGGACTAATATGCTTACACTGTAGTTCCGGCCATCTGTCTCAACTCAGTGCATATACACTGGGCAGACTCCTCAGGCTGTCTCTTCTGATGTGTGTAACTTGCAAGTTGAAAAATGTCAATCAGTATCTTGCCTCAGTCATGATCTCTTAACCTTTCTGAGGTGCAGTTTCCTTAATCTGCAAATGGGACTATAGAACAGTCTATAGCTTCTTATCTACAAGTCCTTGTATCAAAGAGCTCTAAAAACCAAAAGTTTTTCTTAACTCATTTAGTGGCAAGACCTGACCTGAACAGATGTGTGATTTATCATCTTGATTATCCCTCTCAGTGGGAATTTTCCCATTTGCTACTGAAAAAAAGCACTGCATTTGCTTATGGAATGCTGTGCCAGGGTCTGGTGGGGTGCAATATATAGGCATATCCACCTATGTCAGGGGGTCCCAGGACTCCAGCAGGTTCATGATTTGCTAGGGTTACAGCAAGATTCACAAAGGTTGGAGGGGAACCAGGGACAAGCTTCCAGGAGTCCTCTCACCCTCGAGTCAGACAAGAGGTACTTAATTCCCCAGTTTGGATGATTGTGACAACATGTGTGAAACATTACCAGCCAGGGAAGCTTGGGAGAAACCCCCCGAATCCAGGATTTTTATTGGGGTCTGATCACACCAGCAGCCTCTACCTGGCACAGATCAAACTTCCAGACTTCCAAGGGGAAAAAGACTTAATCGGCAGAAGCCGTATTGTTTGTACAGTTTAGGCACAGTGAGTCAGTCTTATATCAGTTCTGACAATTTTGGGAGCCCTTCCCAAACCCAAGCACCCAGACCCCAGCCAGGGGCCTTTGAACAAGACAGACCATCAGGTGGGCGTATTCACTATTTTCTGTTTCACATCCCGTTACCTTTCTGAAATCCTTCAGTTCTCATTTGCAAAACCCACCCTGTTGGTAGAAACCAATACAGTACTGTAAAGCAATTATCCTTCGATTAAAAATAAATAACAGCAACAACAACAACAAAAACTCCAACCTGGGGTCTCAAGGGTTTCAGATAAAGGACCGTGGCCTTAATATTCTTACGGAGTTTGTGGGGCCCCGAGGGATGCTCCGGGATAAATCTGAAAAGTGGAACAGCTGCATGGGGTGGCTCAGCCTGGGGAGGTCCTGTGGTGAGGCTTTGTTCTCCTTCCTCCCGTAGAACCTGGGCCCCTCCGTCCTGGCAGGGGTGGCCGTGATGATCCTCATGGTTCCCCTCAATGCTGTGATGGCCATGAAGACCAAGACCTACCAGGTAGGGGGGTGTCTCCTTGGGGCTCCAAGCCGGGCCCCTGCCTGAAGCCTTTCCAATGAAGTGTTGGCTGCCTTCCTTCTGCACAGGCCGTGGGGACCTCAGCCTTGCCTGCCTGTGGGAATCCTCTGGGGCGCTTTCATAAATGCTGGTCCCCACGCCCCATTCCGGGAATTCTGAGTCACCTGATAATGGGTGGGTCCTGGGCATCAGGGGTTTTTAAAGCTTCCCATTGGGGCCGCCAAGGCTGAGAGCTCCTGAAATAGACCTCGTGGGCCAGTGTCTGAAGCTGCATCTGTGGACGTCTGGGAGATTCCTCATTTCCCACGGGTTCTATTCCTTTATGCGGGTGTGCACTGTCCAGGGCTGAGCAAAAACCACCCCTTGCTTTTTTCCCCCCTTACCTCATGCTGGTCACAGTGCTCAACTTCTTAACTTTCAGAGCTACTTAGTATTTTTTAAGTTTTGAAATAGTCAAGTAACAGAGTGAATGTCTTCTCCTTATATTTAAAAAGTTCAAATTATACAGAAGTGTAGGGCCTGTCCCGTTCCGTGTCCTCTCAACCACAGTGAACACACCGAAGCAAATCTTGTAGAACTTTCTGTGTGTTTATGTAGAGATCAGACTCACTGTGTAGTTAGGCTGGGCGTGTATAAGTGTGTGCATTGCGGTGCTATCACCATATATATTTTAACACACGCAGGCCCTTTTGGCAGCATGATTTTGTCATTTGATGCCATGCCTGGGGGATCTTCCTGTGGCATGCCATGTAGTCTGACTGCATTCTCTGGAGCTCATGTCTAATGGTCCATAACAGAGATGGGCCGGAGTTCTTTTTTTTTTTTTTTGCTCCTCCATTGATGGCTATTTATGATGTGCCCGTGGAATTTCAAATGAGAGAGCTTGGCTGCCCTGATGATGCTATAGGAGAGACAGGTTCCAGAACGTGGGCCTGGTGGGATGAGGTTTGGGGGGGTAGGGGGGTGATTATGGCCTTTCATCTTCTTCCCTTGAATGGCCCACCTCCCAAACAGTTTCAATCTCTGGCCTTGACCACGTGTTGCTTAACCTGTCCTGTTCTGTGACCCAGGAGTGACATAGCACTTAATGATAGGGCTCTTGTGAGCAGGACTAAATGCCCATGAAAAGCTTAGAAAAGTGTCTGGCTTAAGGAAAAGGCTAGGTGATATCAAAAATATTTAACAACTCTGTAGCACAGGTACCCAGTGGTCAGAACCAGTGCCGACTGATACAGAAACACTTCAGTGTTGTAACAACCATGTACTGGCTGATAAGCAGTAAAGAAAATAAGAAAATGGAGGGGGAAAAAATATCATCCCTCATATTTGGATCAGCAGAGTAAGGCATGTGCCCCTTCCTCCCCGAAAGGGTGTACAGTTTTTCTTGCCTCTCTTCTAAATTTAAGAGGTTTTGCTAACAATGTCAAATCTAACGTGATTCAAACCAATTTTTTGCCATGAAAAATGAATCCTTTGGAGGGCTCTCAGGGTCCAGCGTCATGGTTTACAGGGATTGTTCACCGCTTTCCCACCCTCAGGAAGGCCCATTCTGAACAGATGGAGTTGTTGGTCTGGTGCCAGGGCCAGAAGTGAGCGGCCAACACTGTCCCCCCCACCCCCATGAGGTGTTGACCGCTTCTCTCTTCCAAGGTGGCCCACATGAAGAGCAAGGACAATCGGATCAAGCTGATGAACGAAATTCTCAATGGGATCAAAGTGCTGAAGCTTTACGCCTGGGAGCTGGCATTCAAAGACAAGGTGCTGACCATCCGGCAGGAAGAGCTGAAGGTACTGAAGAAATCTGCCTACCTGGCCGCCGTGGGGACCTTCACCTGGGTCTGCACCCCTTTCCTGGTGAGTGAAGCCGGATTTCTCCTGGCCCACACGGTCAGACGATTTACCGCGTCGTCATTGCCTAACTATTTTTCGGAAGTCGCTATTTCAGCACAGTCTTCTCCGACCACTCTTTTTAAAAGTACCACCCCTGCTCTGCCCTTTGTTTTATTCACAGCACTTGATAGCTCCCAGCCCAGGGCTGCCCGGAGTAGCCAGTTAGGAACTGTTTCAGGTTCACCATGAGCGGAGAAGTTTGTGCTGGAATGTAAGCCTCTGCTCTCTGCATCCTTCATCGAGGAAGTCTGCCTAAGAAACAAAGTCAGCAGAACTAAACTGCTTGCTTGGTGCCTTATTTGAGCCACTTGATGGTGTCAGTTCCTTATCTGTGGGCATCTGGTCACACATGGAGGGTTGGCAGTGACTTGTGGACCACATTTGAAGTGGCCATACCAGATACACGTTAAAAGTCACTTACTATTTCATGAATTGTCTTTCTCCACTAGAATGTCAGCTTCAGGAGGGCACAGATTTTTTTCTGTTCACTTCTGTATCCTAGTGCCAGAACCAGTGCATAATAAGTGGCCAACAAATACTTTTCATTCATTGAAAAAAAATAATTCATATGAAAAGTTATGAAATAAAAAGTAATAAAAGTATATTATCCTTCCATCTATCCCTTTCCTCCAAAATGACAGTTTTGTATATCTTTTTAGGGAAAAAACGTTGATGTGTGTAGATATTTTTGAAATATTTATAATATATTCAAAAGGAGTCATACTCACATGGTGTTCTGGACCTTTGAATTTAGTATATAACCGCTCAGTTCATGCATTCAGATCTGCTTCATCTGTTTGAACGATGTAGTCTTGTCCGGAGCATGGGTGTGCCATAGTGGACTTAACCCATCTCCCATGGCTGGCCTTTTAGGCTGCTCCTGGTTCTTTGCTGTCACTGAATGTTCTGATACACACGTCTTGGGTTACTGTAATGGGTCTGTTCCTAGCTGGCCATCCTTGAAAAGTTTAAAGACGAGAGTGTGAGTTACTGTTTTCCCAACCTGGCCGCAAACCAGAGAACCATATAGAGAGGGACTGGAAGCCCAGTGGACAGTTAAACATGGTTAAGAATGACTTCAGATCATGCCCCGTCCCTCCATGCTTCTTTTTTCTTTCTGTCTTTGTATTATTAATTATGTCATTCTTTTTAAAAAATGTTGTGCTAGTAGTGAGTGTTACTTCTTAGTTAGCTTGGCAAATACGTATTCTTATGGGAAGTTCCTATGACCAAAACCACAATTTTCATAAATAAGAAACAGAATTTTCTAATAGGCTACCATGTGCTTCATCACAGTAGAGTTGCAGGTGGAATATTTAAGGAAGCTCCTGCTTTTTTTTGATGTTTATCAAAGTATATTCATTTGGAGACTGGGTCGTGTTAGGCTCAGCTTGATGTCTCCTAGATTCTTAACCCACACACAAGGCAACGTGGTGGAAATCAGTGATGCCTCAGCTTGTGTAGGCCTCACACTCACCTGCCGGCCTGGTTAAAGGCATGCTCACTGGGCCCCACTCAGTTTCAGATCCAGTCTGTCTAGGAAGGCCCTGAGTATTCACATTTCTAACATGTTCCCAGGGGCTGCTGCTGCTGTGGGCCTGGGGTCCACACTTTGTCCTCAGCAGTGGGGCCCATAGACCAGTAGCATCGGCATCACCAGGTTGCTTATTAGAAACACAGACTCTCAGGCCTCACCCCAGGCCAAGCTAAGACAGATCTAAATTTTAGCAATTGCCCCACCAGGGGATTTGTATGCACATTAAAGTTTGAAAAACATGGGCAAAAAGGAGGAGTGATCACAGTTTTCTGTATAGGACCACCCAGTGAATAATTTAGGTGTCCTTGGCCGTGTGATCTCTGTGGCACCTGCTCATCTCTGCTAGTGTAGTGTGAGAGTGGCTATGGATGGGACTTGACCGGTGGTCCAGGGGTGAAGACTTCTCCTTCCAAAGCAGAGGGCACAGGTTTAATCCCTGGTCACAGAACAATCCCTGGTCAGAGAACTGAGATTCCCACGTGCCTTGGGGTGTGGCCAAAAATTAAAAAAAAAAAAAAGGTAGGTATGGATAAGACTGAATGGATATGGCTGTGATCCTATAAAAATTACTGCATAGACACTGAAATTTGAATTTTGTATACTCTTCTACGTGTCATGAAATGTTTTTTTGGATCATTAAAAAATTTGGGTTTTTTTTTTAGATCATTTAAAAATGTAAAATCCATCCTAAGTTCATGGGCAGAGACATAGCCAGCTGAGTCCTGGCTTAGAGGAGTGGAATGTTATTCTGAGTGTCAGGACCCCTGCTGAATTCTCCTGCCAGCTCATGGAGTGACCTGTAGCCAGCCATTTTACCTCCCTGCCTCTGGATCTTTGAGCAGAAGAGAGGAAGGGGTTGGAGCTTCCCTGGTGGCTCAGTGGTAAAGAATCTGCCTGCAATGCAGGAGACACATGTTGGATCCCTAGGCTAGGAAGATCCCATGGAGGAGGAAATGGCAACCCACTCCAGTGTTCTTGCCTAGGAAATCCCATGGACAGAGGAGACTGGCAAGGTACAGTCCATGGGGTCGCAAAGAGTGGGACACAGCTGACCATGAGTGTTTGGCTTGACTTGACTTTGATGAAGCGGTTAGGCCCCAGGGACGTGCGTGCGTCCTTGCCCTCTGCAGGCCCCTTGCCTCAGCCAACACCCCTGGACAGTCATGGTGCTCCCTCCCACTGAATTATGTTCAAACAGTCCTCGGGTGAATGAACACTGCCAGTGGACTGGAGTTGGCCCAAGCAGCAGCGTCGCTTAGCTGTTCTGGGACTCTGTGTTCCCTCGGATCCCTTCCGGCTCAAACTCGCCCACATTCCAGGCTGGAAGGGTCTGCTGTCGCATTCTTTTCACACTCCAGTCTCCCCAGCCTTCTCCAGGTCCTTATGACTCTCTTTGTTTTGATAAAAGTAAAAAATACAATACTGCATGGTAGTTAACAGGGGTTGTTCTTATTTTCTTCCGACTGTTCGATCCTGCCAGGCTCCTCTGTCCATGGGATTCTCCAGGCAAGAATGCTAGAGTGGGTTGCCATTTCCTTCTTCAGGGGATCTTCCCGACCCAGGGATCGAACCTACATCTCCTGCATCAAAGGCAGATTCTTTACTGTCTGAGCCACCTGCTGGAGGCTCAACTGTTCAATAGTCTCTATGCATTAAATACAACTGTTAAATAGTCCTTACTGTATATATGATGCATTTTATTTTAAAAACAGAAAATAATGGATTCGTGTGGTGAATAGTTAAAGCTGTTCCAAAGAGTCTGCAGCTGAGCTTCTCAACTCCAGCGCTGCTGACATTTGCGACTGGATAATTCATTGTTTCTTTGTGGGGAGCTGTTCTGTACACTGTAGGATGTTGAGCAGCATCCTTGGCCTTTCCCCACTTCAGATGCCAAGTGGTGCCTCTTCCCCTCATCTCCCCAGTTATGATGATCAAAATATCCCCAGGTGAGAAGCACCTGTCTGCCTCCACAGGCCCCCATCACCCAGCTTCCTTGTCCATACCAATTTCTTCTGTGTTTTTACGGAAAGAGCCTGCATGTATATCAGCATAACATTGACTATATACAATAAATGTACTTAAATTGCTACATCTATTTTATTTACTTTCATACTAGTGATAGCAAATCACACAGAAATCCAAGATGTTTGGATTCCTTTTTTTTTTTTTCCTTTTTTATAAATAGGCAAAGATCTGAAGCCAGAGGGGTCAGGCAGCAAACTTTCATCTGAGCTGTGTTACGCTTAGGACGAAGGGACCTTTCCCCATAACCCTTTGCTCTGCACATCGGATTCTCTGACAAAACCTGGCCGTTTCTAGCTAGTCACCCAGACTGCCAACCCTTTAAATAATCATTTCCTGCCCTGGTCTCCCTTAGGAAAGCACAGCAGGAGATGCTTAAAGAGTATGACTGGCTTTTCTTGACCTTGAATTTGCCATTCAGCTTTGGGGTGATGGTGGACTTCCAGAGACAGGGTTGGTTGAGCTGTTCGTCATGAAACAGATGAGCCTGGGAGTCAGCCGGGGACCTTGACCCTGGCCGAGACATCTGCCTACATTAGGAGAAAATATGTGGCCTCTGGTTCCCTTGGAAGGTATTTGCATGTTCTTTCCACTGGTGGATTCCTGCACTTCAAGGATGATGACGTGTTTACCCACCGGTAGGTGTGATGGAAGACAGAGTCCTGAGGAGGTCAGGCAGGAATGGGGATGCCATGTGGCAGGGTTGATGGGGTTGTTTTTCTGGAATATAGAGCCTGGCATTTATCATGTCCTCATGTCCACCTAATGCACGTTCCTAAAATAGCATCCCCAGGCAGCCGTCAGTATTTGGCATTTGCTATCTTAGAAGATTTGCAAGCTTCTTGTCATCTCTGTGCCTTGTCTGTCCCTGCTTTAGAATAATTATCTTCTATATGCTAACTACCCGTTGTGCAATTCTCCACTGACCAGGACATACATGGCTCTTCTCTTTTATTGCTTATATCCCTGTAACATAGTGCATGGTAAGTTGCTTTAGTCGTGTCTGATTCTTTGTGGGTAGCCCACAAGGCCCCACTGTCCATGGGATTTTCCAGGCAAGAATACTGGAGTGGGTTGCCGTTTCCTTCTCCAGGGGATCTTCCTGACCCAGGGATCAAACCTGCATCTCTTAAGTCTCCTGCATTGCCAGGCAGATTCTTTACCACTAGTACAACCTGGGAAGCCCCTGAAACATAGTGGACTCAGCAAATAGTACCCACTCATTAGGTGTATGTAGATTGACTGACTAAATGAATAGAATGAAGATTTGGATAAACTGTATTAGTTAGGAACTATCTTTCAAGTGGCAGAAACCTAACTTAGATCCACTCGAGTAAAATAAAAAGAAGGGAGATTTTTGAGTCACTGAGAAGTCTAGGAAGGTGCTGGTTTTAAGCATGACTAGGGTTTCAGGCATGGCTGGATCCAGGTGCTCCAAAGATAACATTAGGTATAATTCCTTCTCTGTCTCCTACCTCTGCTTTCTCCATGGTGGTTTCTTTGTCAGATGCAAAGTCAACATGCAGTTACGATTGATCCTGTCATCTCAGTAACCACAATGAGGAGAGAGCTCCCCTTTTTCCATTAGTTCCCACAGCAAAGCTGTGGGGTTGAGTCTCATTGGTTACAGTTGATTGCGTGCTTGTCCCTAAATCACTGGAGTCAGGGAACAGGGATGCTTGGATTGGCCAGGCCTGGGTCACGTGACTTCTGTCAGAGATTAGGCTGTAATGTAGACCTTTGATCTGTGGCTGAACCTCATGGACTGAAGTTGGGGGAGGTTCAGCTCCCCAAAGGAAAACTAATGTTGTTACAACCAACAAGAGTGGATGCCAGCCAGGCAGCAGGAACAGATGTTCTCATGCAGAGATGGCAGGTTTTTAGGGGTTGGGCTGGGGCAGTTGGTTCAGTCGTTTGCCCCATTTCTCAGTGTGGAGGGAGGCTCTGTTTTCACCCAGAGAGGTCAGTAAGTGAAGGATTTTCCAAATCCTTGACCCTCACCGTTTGTAAGGCTGTAGCAAACCCCAGCTCCCCAGCCACGTCCACACACTGGCAGATGCCCCTGCTCGAGAGACCCTGGTTTAGTACCTGTTTCCCACTCAACTGTGAGTCTCAGGATCTCCAAGTCCGTCTTACACAGTGCCTGGCACACGGAGGGTGCCCAGTCAGTAACTGATGGATGAGTAGTGCCCTCCACTTCTGGAGAAGTGGACGCTGTGGATCTGACAGGGGCCACGCGATGCGCTTCCTGTGCTGCCAGCAGTCACCCCATCAGTTGGGCCAGTGGAGCTGGGATATCCTGGTGACATGCTTGATTTCTTTGTTGTTGAAGAGACACCCCTGGGTGTGTGCTTTCCTGCAAATCAATCCACCCACTCACCCATCCGTCTACTTACCTATCCCACCCATCCACTCACCCACCCAGAAACATTTTCTGGGTATCTGCCATGATCCAGGTGCTGTCCCAGGCACTGATGATAGAGCAGTGAATACTACAGGCAAAAACCTTCACCCTCATGGGGTATTCGTTCATTCATTCTAACTGGGAGAGATAGACAATGCACATAATGAATGCATAAAGAATATATAGTATGCTAAACTGTCGTAAGTACAATGGGGAAAAAAAAGGTTCTGGTTGGAGCAACAGGGAGGGTTTGAAGTTTTTAAACTGATGATCACAGGACTTCCCTGGTGGTCCGGTGATTAAGACTCCATGCTTCCACTGCATGGGCCATGGGTTCGATCCCTGGTTGGGGAGCTAAGATCCTGCACTTTGCGGCCAATAAAAAAGGATGATCCAAGACTTCACTGAAAAAGTGATACCCGAGTGTTAACTTGGTGGCAGTCAGGGGCCCGACATTGAGAAGGAAGAGTTAGTGCAGAGGCCCTGTGGCAGGACTGTGTCTGCCTCACAGAAGTAACCACAGAGGCCACGGGGCTGGAACAGAGGGAAGGAGTGGGGAGAGTGCTGGGCGAGAAGGGCAGACAAGTTCAGGGCAGGGATGTTTACCAATCAGTCGGATCTGGGGGCCTGAGTCAAGACTGTGGCTTCTATACTGAGTAAAATAGACTGATAATGGAGAGGTGATTTTTTAAAAACTTTTATTTTATTGATATAAAATTCACCACATTTATGTGTGCAGTTCAGTGGTGTTTATTGTATTCACAAGGTTGGACAGCCATCCCCACTGCCTAATTTCAGAGCACTTTCATCACCCAAGAAGGAAACCCTGTACTTATGTGAGGCACTCCCCATCCTCCAGCCCAGCGCATCCTCTCGTCTACCTTCTGTCTCTCTCGTTGTTCAGTTGCTCAGTCGTGTCCAGCTGTTTGCGACCCCATGGACTGCAGCAGACCAGGCTTCCCTGTCCTTCACCATCTCCCAGAATTTCCGCAAACTCTGTTCATTGAGTCAGTGATGCCATCCAACCATCTCATCCTCTGTCTTCCCCTTCTCCTCCTGCCTTCAATCTTTCCCAGCATCAGGGTCTTTTCCAATGAGTTGCCCTTCACATCCGATGACCAAAGTATTGGAGCTTCAGCATCAGCATCAGATATTCAGGGTTGATTTTGATTTGCCTATTCTGGATATTTCATTTAAATGGGATCATATATAATGTGTGTGACCTTCATGTCTGTCTCCTTTGATTTAGCATCAGGTTTTCAGGGTTCATCCATGGCGCAGTGGGCGTCAGCACTTCAGTCCTTTTTATGGTTGAATCCTGTTCCTCTGTGTGGATGTGGTGGGGGAGTTGTGAGTGGGGAGACTCTCCAGGTAGGAGGCGAGTGTGGTATCAGAGCCTGGGGGAGGAGAGTCAGCATGCGCAGTCGTCCCAGGGATCGGGTGTCGGTGGCTTTTGAGCACCTAACCTTCCTCTTGGCCACGGATCCTGGAAAATTTCTGTGCCTTCCCTCAGGGTCACCTCCCTTGTTAATGTCAGAACCTGCTCTGCTTTCCAGTGCCCTGTTCTTGGTGGTTTGGTTGCTAAGTTGGGTCCCACTCTGCGAGTCCGTGGACTGCAACCTGCCGGGCTCCTCTGACCATGGAATTCTCCAGGCAAGAATACTGGAGTGGGTTGCCATTCCCTTCTCCAGGGAATCTCCCTGACCTAGGAATCGAACCTAGGTCTTCTGCATTGCAGGCAGATTCTTTACTGACTGGGACTCGGTTAATAGATTCTTTGGAAAAATAGTCCAAGGACTTTGAACTGAGTCCTGAAGCAATAAATAAAACAGCCGCCATCTACTGCATTTTACTGTTCCCCAGGCATAGGGTTAAGCACTCTTCACTAGTGCCTGGTTCCTTGCTGCCAAAAGCCCTGTGCGTGCTTATCCTGATTTCCCATTTCATAGATGCGAAAACAGAGGCTCCCTTGGAGAGGTGAGGTGACCTTACTGCCCAGGGTCACACAGCTGATAAACAGGCAGAGCTTATGGGTTTAATGTTTAAGATGTATGACCTTCTAATAGATAGCAAAAGAAATGAGGCAGCTGAGACCCTGAAAATACCCTGAACCTCAGCCACACCAGAATCTTGGCCACACTGGGATCTTCTGATTGCTGGCCATCTGCCCCGAGCTCAAGAATGAGGTCCCAGGCAGTTTACTTTCCCTCAGGGAAAGCCTTTAATGGCTCTTGGAGCCTGGGCTAATGTGGGGGTGGAGACTTGTACCCATCTGCTGGGTCCAAGGTTTTCCAGATTGCCTCGGTAATGTGTCCCGGTGACCTCAGGGGGATGTTGTTAGCCTCGCTAGCAACACCTGGTACTGTGCTGGCGCCATCAGGGGTTAGGGCACAAAGAGACACCTGTTGATCTTTTCCCTTCTAAGCCGTGCAGCCCAGCCCTGGATTATTCGGGGTCTTTCCTTTTTCCTGGTGAGGGAGGGCCTACTGTCTCAGACAGCTGAACCCAAATTGCAGTTGCCTGGGAGTTGAAATCCCAAGCCTCCCCACAGGACTTATGGCAAGTCTGATTTTGTAGGGAAGGGAGTAGGCTTCAGAGGACCCTTGGCTGTTTGTTTTTTCTTTTTTTTTTTTTTTTTAAAAAAAGGCCTATGTTCCTTTCCTGGGGGCACTCTGAGCTGGAAGGAGCTTTCAGCAGTGGCATGAATCCTCCATGTCCGCCCCCATTTCACAGATGAGACAGTAGAGGCTGGTGAGAGGAGGTGATTTGCCTGAGGTCTCAGGGCTCCTGTGTGCCGGGGGTCATTCTAGGCACTGAGGATACAGCCACATACACAAGTCCCTACCTTTGTGAGGTTTGCATTTCAGTGCAGAAGACAGACACTCAATATCTGTAATCTTACAATGTAAGGTGGTGATAGGTGTTATGAAGAAGAATAAACCAGAATGTAAGGATGATACTGGAGAACACTCTTGAGAGTCCCTTGGACTTCAAAAAGATCAAAGCTATGCCAGCAAAGAGGTCAATCCTAAGGGAAATCAACCCTGAATACTCATTGGAAGGACTGATGCTGAAGCTCCGGTACTTTGGCCACCTGATGGCAAGAGCTGACTCATTGGAAAAGACTCTGATGCTGGAAAGGGTTGACGGCAGGAGGAGAAGGGGGCAACAGAGGATGAGATCCTTAGGTAGCATCACTGACTCGATGACCATAAACTTGAGCAAACTCTAGAAGATAGTAAAGGACAGAGGAGCCTAGTGTGCTGCAGTCCACAGGGTCACAAAGTCAGACACAACCTGGCAACCAAACAATAGCAACAAGGATGGAGAGTGGTTGCAGGGCTGTTGTGGGTTGGGCATCCTGTCAGAACAGGGAGAGACTGGATGGGAAAGTCGTTCTGGGCAGAGGGCACTGGCTCAGAGGTGTGATCTCTTGGTGATGCTGAGGGACCCCTTGAATGCCTGTTCAGTGTCCCGCGGAGAACGGTGGTGGGAATGGCCGGGACTTTTGGCTCCTAGCCATTGGTCTATCCAGTTCATTCTCTGGGTGTTTAGTGGGTGCCTGCTGTATGCTAGACTTTGTCTGGGTATGTGTCACTGCTTCTGTGACTGAGATGCTGACCTTGTCTGCTTGCAGGTGGCCCTGTCTACGTTTGCCGTCTACGTGACCGTCGATGAGAACAACATCCTGGATGCCCAGAAGGCCTTCGTGTCCTTGGCCTTGTTCAACATCCTTCGCTTCCCCCTGAATATCCTCCCCATGGTCATCAGCAGCATTGTGCAGGTACAGGCGAGACCGGGGGAGTTTCAGGGAAGGGACTCTGGGGAAACAAGGCCAAAGGGCACGAAAATCCCTTGGATGCAGCTGCCTCTGTGTGACTCGCCCCACTGTGCTCAGGGTGGGGGGGACGGTGATCGAGGCCCAGACCTTTGTAATTTTTTTGGTGCTGCCCTAAAGAGAGAGAGACGTTTTTATTTATTGACATACATGCTCAAGTGTATGTGTGTGTGTGCAAGCACGTGCTCAGTCAGTCGTGTCTGACTTTGCGACCCCATGGACTGTAGCCCACCAGGCTCCTCTGTCCATGGGATTCTCCAGGCAAGACTACTGGAGTGGGTTGCCATTTCCTTCTCCAGGGGATCTTCCTGACCCAGGGATCGAGCCTGCATCTCTTGTGTCTCCTGCATTAGCAGGCGGGTTCTTTACCCCTGTTCGTTACCTTCTTTACCTGGGACGCCCCAGGTGTATGAAACAAAAGTTATTGCGGCTAGGCTTTCCTGAGCACTGCAAGATTCTTTCTGAAACACTTGTCCCTCTTCTGTTCTAATCGAGTCTGTGCCACCCTGCCCTGTCGTACCGGGTCCTGTTTCTTATACCTCTGGCTACTTCATGTTGATGTATGACAGAAATCAAACCAATATTGTAATTGAAGCAATTATCTTTCAATTAAGAATAAATAATTTTTTTAAAAAATGCAGCCACTAAATTGGTTTTGCAACCCACTCATGGGCTTGGCTCACCATTTGAGAAATTCCAGCTGGACGCCCTCGAAGCCCCCAGCCCGGGCGATGATTCTAAAGGAGAGGAAGCACTCAGTCACACTTTTACCATCTGAATCTCCTGCACTTTCCTGCCCATGGCGTTTGTCACACTCTTCTCCCTAATTGTGCACACGCTTCCATGAAAACTGTATCATTAGCCATATTGACAAATAAGCCTTAAGGTTTCATTGTCCAAGCAAGCCCTGGTCAAGGCTTTTAAAAAATAAGCCAGTAAAACCCCTTCTTATTATGACCCATTTCATGTGTATGTAGAAGTGGCAAGAACAGTATAAGAATGCCGCGTGCCCATCACCCAGATCCAGCATTTTGCTGTGATTACTTCATCTGGTCCTGTCTTCCTCCCTCCCTTCATTCCTTTCTCTCTCTCTCTCTCTCTGCTGAAGAATTTTAAAGCAAATCCCAGATCTCTTGGCATTTCACCCATAAATATTTCAGCATGCATTTCTTCTTACATAAGTAACACCATTATCATACCTAACAAAAGTAACAGTAACCTCTTAAAATAATACTTGTTCCATATTAAAACTTTCTGGATTCTCTCTCAGAAATGTCCTTGCCATTGGGCTGTTTGAATCAGGACCTTTGCTTTTTTTGTTTGTTTGTTTTTGTTGAACATATGTTCAGTACATGCAGCGTGCTGATTTGATACATGGACTTGTGGCACTGCTGTTATAACCATAGCGTCAGCTATACCTCGGTCACCTGTCATGGTTATCATTTGTCTTTTGTGGTGGGAGCCATTCAGTTCTCGTCTCTTAGCAGCTGTGAAGTTTATCCTACAGTATCCTTGGCCACAACCGCTGTGTAGTGCATTCAGCCTCCAGGACACCTTTATCTCTGAGTGTCTAGTTTGTCTTAAGCGAGACCGTTGCCTTCAGTTGTTTCTCGTCCCTTGTCAGCCAGGACGGTCCCCTGCCCTCCTCTGTAATGGCCGAGGGCTTTTTAAAGGAAAACAAACAAGAACCCAGACCCACTTAATTTTTTTCTTCTGAGGCATCCGCTCGGGGTAGGAAATGCAGAAACTTCAGAAATAAGGGAGGATGTGGGCCCCTCCGCACCCAGGGGAAACCACTGAGTTAGCCTTGGTCTGTTTTTGCAAAAACGTGTTTAAAAATAACTGCAGCCTGTTGTTGCTCTCCTTGCAGGCGAGCGTCTCCCTGAAGCGCCTGAGGGTCTTCCTGTCCCACGAGGAGCTGGACCCTGACAGCATCCAGCGCCGGCCCATCAAAGACGGTGCGTCCCGGAAGCGTGGATGACCTACAGGCCTTCCCAGGAGGGTGAAAGTGCACCTCTCTCATCTTGTCTTCGGGCAAGAAGCAACTCCTCCCCGGGGGCCCCAGCTTCCGTTCCATTCTGGGCAAATGAGCAAGCTAAGGAAGTTGGAGACTCACCAAACCCCACCTCTTTAGCTGTGCTGCCTCAGGCAGGTCGCTTCACTGCTCTGAGCCTCGCTTTCCCCATCTGGGCAATGGAAAGGACAGTGCCTTTCTTTTTTTTTTTTTTTTTTTTAATTGGTAGATTTGTTATTCTATAGCTTATTAATTTATCCTTTCCCAGCGGACCCCTGAGCAGGGATCTCCAGGCACTCAATAAGAAATATTCATAGCACTAGTGGTAGTGACTGCTTTTGTTGTAATGTTGTCCTATCCTAAGGACGTCACCATACTTACCTGTCCATTGCTCACCGCAGCTCACGGAGTGGGCTGTGGAAACCCCCCATCAGCAGATGAGGACGCTCACCCGGGTAACTCGCACACCAGTAAGCGGCAGTCAGGATTCATACCCGCAGCCCATCAGCACAATCTGTGTTCTCACCCACAGTTCAGCATCTCCGCACTGAGATTTACTGAGCACCCACTGTGTGTCAGTCATTGTTCTAAGGACTGTCTGTGTTGCCTCATTTTTCTCCTCATGACAGCCCTGTGAGGTCGAGCCCATTAACAATCCCATTTTACAGATGAGGAAAGTGGGGCACAGAGAAGTTAAGTAACTTGCCTGTGCTTCTCCAGCTAGGAAATGGCCACATGGGGTTTGAACTCACAGTCTGGCTCCCGAGCCCAGTAGATGCGGTCAGAGGAATGAATGGTGTGTATGCATGTGAGCGGTACGTCACTTGTACGCACGTGAGCACTGTAGCATGTGTATACGTGTGAGCGGAGCAGCAGGCATTCAGACGTCCTAGGTGGCGTGTGGAACACCCAGCACAGCACTGGCAAACAAAGATCAAGGTAGTCGATACTCCCCGTGTCTGAGAGGCGGTCGGCATGGGGGGCCGCGTTCCTCAGCCTCAGCACCACCAACATTCGGGTCAGGGTCTCTTTGCTGTGGGGATGTCCCGTGCGTTGTACTGAGTTGGCCAGAAAGTTCATTTGAGTTTTTCTGCATAACGTTATAAAAAACCCAAACAAACTTTTTGACCACTGCTATAGGCTGCTTGAGCAGCACCCCTAGGTGCCAGTAACACCCATCCCAGGTTCGATAACTGAAAATGTCTCCAGACATTGTGTCCCTGGGGGATCAAAGTCACCCCGAGTTGAGAACCACCACTTCCTGGAACCTCCCTCCCGATTTCCCTGGCCTGTGGTTGTCCAGATTCTGTTGTGTCAAGGATTGAGTTATTTCCACCCCCCACAACACACACACATGTGTGCACAGACATGTACACACACACACACATGTTGCAGAATGATGCCGTCTACTCCAGGGTTTGGGGTCAACCTAGGAGGTTTTCAAGCTCCCAAAATCAGCTCACAGCAAGTCATGTTGGAAAACCCCTGGGCCTGGGTCCAGGCCTCAGTTGAGGCCTCAGCCCTGATTCCCTGCCCTGAAGGCAGCCCCTTAGGCGCTTAGCCTTTGAGATGTTTATCCACACTCTCTGGGTGCCAGATGGGGGCCCCTAGGCAGCTGCTGGCCAAGTCTTGTAGCCTCTAGCTTGACCGACTCTAGTGGCTTTTCTTAAATTCCTTAAATAGCACCTTCCAGCTTCCTCCTTGTTCCCTGTTTCAGGGGAGGGATGGGGGCCCGGCAGGTTAAGTTTGGTTAACCAGTAACTTCCTCTCCTCACAGATTTTGTTGCTTTGGTGGGTGGGGCAATTTATTTCTGCTTTTGACAGCTTAGAAGCACCCCCCATCTTCTCTTTAGATGGTTTCAAGTTGGCTCATCATTTAAGTAAGAAGTTGTTTGTGTGAGTGAGGGCCATGGAGTAAAAAAGAGAATAAAAGGAGGGAATGTTGATGCAGGCAGAGGGGCTAGAAACAGGTAGGTCCGCGTTAGGCAAACCTCGTCTGGCATGCCTTCCCCTCCCCTGCCACGATTCCCCGTTTCCTGTTCCATCCCCGAGTTTGCACAGTTTACAGACGTTGGTGTTGAGGGGAAGACCGACCTGCCCTGACCTGAGCAGGGTGGCTGAAGGAAGGCAGAAATGGGATGCAGGGAGGTGAGTTAGGAGGCTGCCCTGGAAACCGGGAGTTTCAGGGTGGGGACCCCACTTTGAACATTAAAGGAGGGGCCCTGGAGGTCTAATGAGGGCCATGGGTCAGCTTGAGCTGATCACAGGCGACTGCATGCGGGCGCTGCTGACACCCTGTGACCTTAGCTTCTGCTCAACCCGCCCCCGCCCCTGCCCCTCCCCCAGAGCTGCCGGAAGCTCCCAGGAATGAGTGTGGGAGGCCCCGGGGGTCCCTGGCTCTCCCAGATTGTGCGGCCTCCTATCTTTCAAAGGCAGAGCCCTCCCGTGGTTTCTTTCGGCTCTCTGGGTGGAGGCCGCCTCCAGAGCTGCTGGTTGAAGTTCTTCAGAAACAGCGACTGATGTGATCAGATAATGCCTGGCATGGGTGTCCAGCCTCTGGAGTTGAACTACCTGATAAGGAAAAACAAAAAGTAAGAGCCTGCTGCTCAAGCGCAGGCCATGGCTGCGCCTGCGCCTGACATGTTATCTCTGGTGCCTTCCAGCTGGAGCCACGAACAGCATCACTGTGAAGAACGCCACGTTCACGTGGGCCAGGAATGACCCCCCCACGCTGCACGGGTAAGTGGGATGTGGAGAGAACCACGGGGCTCTGGGCAAACACAGGTCCGAATTCCAGCCGTGCGCCCGCTCTGTGACCGTGAATGGGTCACTTTGCCTTTCTAAGCCTCAGTTCGGCTCATCCAACAGGCCCCTTCGCACCTGCTTGAGCTTCGGGGAGGAGCAGATGACTGTGGGCCTGGCTCAGAGGGTTCCCTCAGACTGTGAGGGACTCGAACCTTGCCCAGATAGGCTTAGGCAACAAAGGGAAACTTCTGGTTCACATACTGCCAAGGTTCACTTTCAGTTTCGGTGTGATCCAGGGACTCAGACAGTGCCTCTCCTTCGTGTCCTTGTTCCCCAGCCATCTGTGCCACTTCCGTCTCAGACGTCCTCTTCCCTCAAGACCCAAATGGCCCCCATCGACTCCAGGTGTCCCTCCTGTGTCATCAGGAGACCCACTTGCCTCTTATTGGCCCAGGTTGGGTCACGTGTTTCTCCCTGAGCCAATGGCTGTACCAGAAGAGACGGCGCACATTGATTGGCTGGGTGGGTCGGAAGCTGTGATGGTGGCCGGAAGGCTTGGGTCTGCTGATAACTTGCCCGCTCACGTGTGATATCAGGCTGGGTTGTTCTCCATCCTCTCCCCCAGCTGCCTCGTTCACCCTTTCCCACCATTTCCATGTCCGAGACACTGCCCACCCCAGTCCTTGTTTTTCTAAGTCACAGCATCCTGGAAATTGACCTGCTTTCCTGGCTACTTGTCAAATGCCTCTAAGTTCTTTCCAGCTGCACGCCTTGCTTCGGGGCTCTCAGACTTCCTTAAGGAGTCCCCCATCGCAGGGCCAGATGGGACATTTTTAGGGGCCAGATTTATCCCCCCCATACCCCTAAATAGTTGCCCCCTTACTGACTAGCCAAATTACTGCTGTATTTTATTTGAGGATGTGGGGAGGGGCAGATCAAACTTTCTGGAGAAACGAGTCTGTGTAACACTGCCCTTGATGGGACTGCATGTTTAGGAAGTTCTTCCTTATGTCTAACTTAACTCACGTCCACTTCAACTTTAGCTTTTCTCTTGTCCTGTTTAATAAGTGAGTAGTCTGTGTCTATGCCTCTGTCCCTCTGTCTGTCCTTCCAGCCTCAAAAACCTTGTTCCCGTCACCTTCCCTCACTCATTGAATATCCACCCCCCAGCCCCCACCTACCCCAGATTTCTCCATCCAAACCTATAATATGTTCCCATCTTGCCTGGATGATCACAGCAGCTGCCTCACTGGGCTGACTGTTCTATCCTGGCCCCTTCATCCATTCCCCTCCCAGCATAGAACAAAAGAACAATCCGTATGACCATATAGTAGGTATGAAGAATTGAACAATGGGAGCAAAAGCCATCAGCCTGTCCACCAATATGTTGAAATCATAATAGCAGCGCTTGGAAAATGCAGCCGATGTAGGTGAACCCAAGGAGGCCCTGGACGTGCCTGCCCTCCCCCAGTGGGTGGGATCCCAACCCCACTCTGCTGTCTTCCGTGGAAGGCTAGCTGTGGTCCTATATGGTGTCATAGCCCCTTTTGCCCACAGAGTGTTGAGCCTGTTGTATTGGATTGGCCTAAACGTGCATTAGGAATTTTCTGTAGCAGCTTATGGAAAACCCCGAACAAACGTTTTGGCCAACCCAATACTTCGATTACTGTTATATCTGCCAAAGGGCGATATCAGTAGAGACGTGTTTTTGAAATTCTGATTCACATGTGTTAGGCCCTCCTCTCTGGTTTCCAGCTGGGAAGCGTGTCCTCTGAGGCCCTCTTGGGTCTGGACGCCACCCACCCACCTCTTCAGGACTGACCTCCCACTCCTTGCCTCATCTTGTGTCATCGACATGTCTACTTTTGGTCACATCTGTGATTTCACACCCGTGGGTCTTTCCTCAGGCTGTCCCCAGGTGTCTGGGTCATGCTCATCCTTCCTCTAGCTCACCCTTTCTCTAGGTTTTGGGGTGGCCTCTTTGTTGAGCTTCCTCATTGGTTCAGTAGTAAAGAATCCACTTGCAAAGCAGGAGGTGCAGGAGATGTGTATTCGATCCCTGGGTTGGGAAGATCCCCTGGAGGTGGACATGGCAGCTCACTCCAGTATTCTTAACTGGAAAATCCCATGGACAGAGGAGCCTGGTGGGCTACAGTCCATAGGGTCGCAAAGGGTAGGACATGACTGAGTGACTGAGCACACACGCCCCCTTCCTTGAGCACCTGCGCCCCCAGGTGAAGTGGATCCCTCTCCACTCAAGCCCCCTTCCCCTATCTCGGTTACTTCTGCAGGGATCTTTCCTAAGATGCAGCTTGGCACAGAAGCCTCTGGGACAGTTCCCTGAACTAATGAGCTAGTTGTAGAAACAGCGTGAGTGATGTCCAGGCCTCAAAGACTCAGGACAGCCCTGCCTGCCCTTTCTCCCCACTCGGGGCCCGTTCAGTGTCGGGAAGCCAGGCTCCCCCATCTGAGCCAGGGTGTGTCATGTCGTTTCAGCATCACCTTCTCTGTTCCGGAAGGTTCCCTGGTGGCCGTGGTGGGCCAGGTGGGCTGTGGGAAATCGTCTCTACTCTCAGCGCTCTTGGCCGAGATGGACAAGGTGGAGGGACACGTGACTGTCAAGGTAGGGGCCTGGGTGGGGGCCAGGTAACTCACGGCCAAGGGGAAGGCCAAAGGGCGATTGGGTGTTTTCTTTTATGACCTTTTATGACCTTGTTAAGCAAGTGGGAACTACTTTTGTTCTCCTTTCCTTCTGTGCCCTCCTAGAAGGCAAGATTGTGGTGTCATCTAGTTCCTGCTGTTTCTCAGCACCTAGAATAGTGCCCGGGATGTAGTAGGCACTGGATAAGTATTTAGTTAACACACAAATGCCCCCTGGTCCACCCTCTGCCCTCAACTCCCTCCCCATCGCCGCCCTGCAGTGTGCATCCCGGGGCCTCCTTAAGCATGGCTCTTTCAGGCTTATTCTTTCTCTTTGTGGTTCTTCTTGTATCTCTTTTGGCAAATGTAGCAACACTTAAAATTTTTTATTGATGTCATTGGAATATTTCCTTGGAGAATTCTTTTTAAGGGACTTATTTAAATTCTTAGTGTTTGTTGGATTCTTAATATGGGGCTAAAGGGAGACTGTTTTTACTGCTTTTAAATACACAGTGTTTTGAACTAAGTTGCTGTATATCTTGGGAGAGAGTTTAAGAGGCTGCCTTAGTGAACAGATGTGTCGCGTCAGAATCAGGAGCCTTGTTTGGCATTTAGCTCTGTCCCCCGCCCCCAAGACCCTTCCCTGGGGTTGGGGATATTTTCTTACAGAGTTTTGTTGATACCAGCATTTCCGGGAGCATGGTCTGCAGCAAATTCATCTTACTGTTTAGGGAATAAAGAGTCCTGGGCTCAAACAAGCTTGGGAAATAGTGCAGATTCTGATTCCTTCCCTGTTGGACACTCTGATAAGTCCTACAGGGAGAAAAAAAAAACCTATTTAACTTTGGTTAATCCTGCGTGTCCCAGACACATTTGCCTGCCCCTCTTTGTTGCCTAGACAGCAGCTCCTTATGTCTTAAGATTACTGTCTCCTGGAGTCTTACTTTTGGGGGATGCTGGTTTCTGCCGTAGTTTTCATTTCAGAGCAAAATCCTTTCTTTGCTGATGATCATATGACCTTGAACCTAATGTGTATGAGCGAAGTGTATGATAGTTGGGTCTAGACTAATGAGGGTTTCCCAGGTGGTGCTAGCAGTAAAGAACCTGTCTGCCAATGCAGAAGACACAGGAGACAGAGGTTCAATCTCTGGGTCAGGAAGATCCCTTGGACCTATTGTTTTAAGAAATGATCTGTCATTACTTTCAAATACATGTTATAAAGTAAGGTTCATAGGCAGCATGAGCTAGGTTAATTGGAAGAAGACTTGGGATCATGGTGGGATCCACATTGCCTTCTGTTTGATTAGCCCTGGGTTTCCACAATCCCAGCCCTATTGACATTTCATGCCAGATCATTCCCTGCTGTGGAGGCTGTTCTCTGCACTGTAGGGTGTTTAGCAGCATCCCTGACTTCTGCCCACGAGATGCCAGAAGCAGCCACAAGTCATAACAACCAAAAGTGTCTCTTGACATTGTCACATGTGTCCCCTGGGGGGCAAAATTACCCCCAGTTGAGAACCACTGAATACAGAGATGATGGACCAAAGAGTGAGGGTGTTTGAATATTTGGTTTGATGAGGTGGTAGATTTATTCGTGACTGGTTATTTTGCCTTGGTAAGGGAAGGGCTTCCCTCGTGGCTCTGATGGTAAAGAATCTACCTACAATGTGGGTAGACCCCGGGTTCGATCCCTGGGTCAGGAAAATCCCCCAGAGAAGCGATTGGCAACTCTCTCCAATACTCTTGCCTGGAGAATTCCATGGACAGAGGAGCCTGGCAGGCTACAGTCCATGGGGTCATAAAGAGTCGAACATGACTGAGCAACTAACTACAACAAGAAGGACAGTGCGGGAAATGTGTTCAAAATGTTTATTTTGTCTCAGTAGTTTAGTTGGTAGGGCTCATGCATACTGTGGGAATTACCTGTGAGTTCTGCAGTGAGGCTTTGTGAGTCTGGCCAGTTTAAGTTAGGATATTGGAGTCAGCAGTTTGGTTATTTATCTGACAATGAAGATGAAGAGCTGGGCTCCCTGGGTTTCATTTCTAACCTCATCCTCCTAGCATCCCTTTATTTAACAGTCTTTGAGGACTCCCCCTGCCCTTTCAGTGAAGCTCATATTCCTCATCCCGGAGAAGGGAATGGCAACCCATTCCAGTATTGCCTGAAGAATTCCATGGGTAGAGGGGCCTTGTGGGCTGCAGTCCATGGGGTCGCAAAGAGTCAGACACGACTGAGCTACTGAACTGATCTGAACTGAACTGAGCAACTAACACACACAGACACACACACACGTCACTAGGACCACCAGCCTCTTGTGAGTCCCCAGCCTCTTGCCTACTTGGTCAAGAACAAATTCAGGAGAGGAGGCAGAAGGTACGAGTAAAGTAAAAAGTTTGTTGAAAAGAAAAGTGCCTGCAAAAAGGTGCATGGGCAAACTCAGAGAGTGTGCTTTTTGGAAGTTTAAATCCTTTATAAGGGGGCAGTTTTCCAGGTCTTAGTCTTCCCCTGAGGTGTGCATGCCTTAGCTGAGATGGATCTCAAAGTGAAGGCTTCTGGGAGGGGTAAGACTCATTATCCTCTGACTTTTGACCCTAAGGAGCCTTCCCATGCATGTGTAGTGTCTCCTTTATTCCAGAAAAAGGAGGGGAGTGGAGATCCCCTAATCCTTTACCCAGACAGGATTTTGCCCTTCTATGTCCTGGCCACGACTGTTATCTTAAGGATATTTACAAGACAAAGACTGACTACTTACCCTGTTTATGTTGTTCCATTTTGGAGGGCAAATAGAAGGCTGACTGTAAATGCCTTAACTGGAGCCCACCTCTCTCTTGTCTCAGGAAATGCAAAGAGGAGACTAGTTTTAAGTATCCAACCTGAAGCCCACTTCTTCAGCCCCATGAAATGCAGGCAGAGGCCACATGTAGATGTCTTAACATGGAGCCTGTCTGTCCCCTGCCTCCCTCTCACACACTTGCTCAGACTGAAATGCTCTTTACTCTTCTCTTTATCAGACCAGCACCCTATCAGTCCTTGTTTAACTTTTTTTTTTTCAGTTACTGAAATACATGAAACAAATGCCCTCCTCATAGTCTTTGTTCTTATGCCATTCTGACACCTTGCATTATGTGGAAATATACAGCAACTTTAGAAATGGACGGTTTTTATACAGATGTCTTTGCTTAAATTTCACCAAGGAAATCTCAAGGGCTCTTTTAAGGTTGTCCCAAACTAAGTCTCCCTTTAAAAAAAATTTTTTTTTAGTGGATTATAGTTGATTTACACTGCTGTGTTTCTGGTGTACAGTGAAGTCATTCAGATAAATGTGTATATATATTCTTTTTCAGATTCTTTTCCAGTATAGGTTAAGTCTTCCTTTTAAAGGACTTTTTTGAAAGTCTCGTATTTTTCTCTCTTAGCCTGTACCACAACAATAATCAAATAATTTTTTTTTTTAAATTCAGGTACTTCCCGTTCTTGGGAACCAGGAGGGTTTTGTTGCTGTTTATTTTAAAATTAATTTTATTTTAAATATTTTTTAAAATTTCTTAAGTTGAAATATAGATGATGTGGGGGCTTCCAGGTGGTGCTAATGGTAAAGAAGCCGCTTGCCAATGCAGGAGACATAAGAGACCCGGGTTCGATCCCTGGGTTGGGAGGATCCCCTGGAGGGGGGCGTGGCAACCCACTCCATTATTCTTGCCTGGAGAATCCCATGGACAGAGAGCCTGGTGGGCTTTGGTCCATGTGGTTGCAGAGTGTCAGACGTGACTGAGGCGACTTAGCACGTAGACGAGGTACAGTGTTTTATAAGATGCAGGTGTGCAGTGTAGGAGAGCTAGGGGTTTTATTTGCTGGTATTCAGTGACTAGGTACGAAATACATAACTGTTATCTCACTAATGAGGATTTCAACTCTCAAACTCTCACTGTTGGAGCCAGTGACTGACCTAGAGTGGACTCGGATCCCAGCCCTGGTGTCTGTCGTCCTCTGGGACTTGGTCTCCCTCTTGTTGAAACCATAGATGTGGTGAAGGTATCTTGTGAAGTAGGGCCTTCCTGGACGGGGGTCAGCTGGCTGCTGTCTCGTTAACCAAGTCTGTCTGTCCTGCCGCCTGCTTTGTTTGCCACCTAGGGCTCAGTGGCCTACGTCCCCCAGCAGGCCTGGATTCAGAACGTTTCTCTCCGAGAAAACATCCTTTTTGGACGCCAGCTACAGGAACGGTATTATACGGCTGTGATAGAAGCCTGCGCCCTCCTGCCAGACCTGGAAATCCTGCCCAGTGGGGACCGGACGGAGATTGGTGAGAAGGTCAGTAGACTTCAGCATGGCCCCTGTATCAGTCAGCTATTACTGTGTAACAAACGAGCACAAAAATCTCAGTGGCTTATGATGTTAAACACTTTGCAACTTACGGTGGGTCGACCATGACTGGGTGAGCCAGGCTGGGCTCAGCTGGGTGGCTCTGGTCCACATTGCAGGCCAGCTAAGCCCAGTTCCAGGCTGTGGGTTGGCACCGGTCTCCCTGTGTGGCTGCTTCCTAGGGCCTGGGTGAGGGGACAGCAGTTCCCCAGGGGGAGGCTTTTTCAATGGCGGCAGCAGGAGCCCAAGAGAACAACAACAACAACAAAAATGTCACGTCTTTTAAAGAACACCATCCTCTCTACCCATAAAGCAAATCAATTGGTTGAACCCAAAGACAAAGGACCAGGAAGTGCATGTTACTTTTGCAACCTTGTGACTAAAAAGTCACATGACCATTGGCACTATACAGGGAATAGGGGTGTCAATGGTTCAAATGTCCACAACCCTTTTCAAAACAGTGATAGTGATAAAAATAATAATACAACAGCTAACTGTTATGGAGTAATTGCTCTGTGCGAGGCACAGTGCTAAACACTTTATACACATCTTGTCCTTTCAGCAAGTCCAAGAGATGGGATTTACTGTTAACCCTGTGTAATGCCATAGGAAAAGGAGGAACAGAAAGGCCAGATGACTCCCAGAGCCCCTTCCCATCTCAGGGCCTTTGCACATGCTTTCCCCTCTGCCTGGCTGGCTTGCTCAATTGCCCCCTGGTGATTAAGTGGTGTGCACATGGGGAGTACAAACGGTCTGGAGCCGACTAAAGAGTTTTCTCGTCCTTATTTTTAGTTATTAATACAAGCCAGTGGTTCCACCAACTTTCCTACTTTGTGAGCCATTTCTTTTATTTGAGTGAGATCTGCAGTTCCTTGGAAAGAAAAAACAAATTATTAGGGCTTTGGGGGTTTTCAAGTGGCAAAGAATCCTGAGTGAGAACTGAATTTACAGGCACTGTGTAGAATCCAAGAGCCGGAATGTGGTGGAGCTCAGGAAGGGGCTGGTTCCTCCTCTGAATTTCATCTCTGCTTTTCTGCGGAGCTTTGTTGTTTTTTTCAAAAATGTATGTATCTGCCACTTGGAGATTCCTCACTCTGCCTCTTTAGGTCCCAATAACCAATGTGTTTACTGGGACTTCCCTGGTGGCTCAGAGGGTAAAGTGTCTGCGGGAGACCTGGCTTTAATCCCTGGGTTGGGAAGATCTCCTGGAGAAGGAAATGGCAACCCACCCCAGTATTCTTGCCTGGAAAATCCCATGGACAGAGGAACCTGGTAGACTACAGTCCATGGGGTCGCAAAGAGTCAGACACGACTGAGCGACTTCACTTCACTTCAACCAATGTGGGGTCTTCCCAGGTGGCACTAGTGGAGAAGTAAGAGACGCTGGTTTGATCCCTGGGTTGGGAAAACCCCCTAGAGGAGGGCATGGCAGCCCACTCCAGTATTCTTGCCTGGAGAATCCCATGGACAGAGGAGCCTGGTGGGCTACGGTCCGTAGGGCTGCGCAGAGTTGGACATGACTGAAGTGACTTACCAGGCACACATGTACCCAGTTTTGGAGGGAGAGGATGTGATTGGCTTGGTTTGGGTCTGATGTCTGCCTGGGGCCAAAAAGCTGTAAACTAGAGGAACTCTCAAAATGAACGTGGCCACCAGGTCCCTGTCTCAGAGCATGGGGAAGGTGGGCATCTCTTGGGAGGGGTTGGGGGGTTAGCCCAGCAGGTGTCCACTCTAAACTCCAGCCAGATATGCAAGTGATGCTGGCTTATCTGCTGCAGGAAGGCCGTGTGGTCCTTGTGCCCTGGTTCAGATTAGGAAACAGTGCCCTTCCTGCTGGCCAGCGGGGCGCAGGCTGGATTGCAGCACCCCTGGGGCACAGCCTGCCTTGCCCGTGCAGCTTCACCAGTGAGTGAAGGCCAAAGATCATAAGCCTTCCCGTAGCCAGCACTGTGTGGTGCCGCCAGCCTCGCCTTCCTGACCATGCCCTGCTCAGCAGCACCCAGCAGCTTGGGTTTTGTCTTTGCGGGTTTCACAGTGGAGGCTGAACCTGGAGCTGGGACTTGAACCCACGTTGGCGCAAGCGCGATCTCGCTGTTACCACTGCTGCTTCCGCGGGAGGCGGGCACAGCCCTGCAGGGCCTCCAGCGAGGGTCGCTGCATGCTGACCCGGTGCACCCCTCTGCCTGTTTTGGCTTCCCAAGAGGCCCACCCTTCTGCTGTGTTTCTCCGCAGGGTGTGAATCTGTCCGGGGGCCAGAAGCAGCGCGTGAGCCTGGCCCGGGCCGTGTACTGCGACTCCGACGTCTACCTCCTCGACGATCCCCTCTCGGCCGTGGACGCCCACGTGGGCAAGCACATCTTTGAAAACGTGGTTGGCCCCAAGGGGCTCCTTAGGAACAAGGTACCTGCTGCGGCGCAGCTTGGGGGCTGGTCCCCGCTTTGGTCAGGTCGCGGTGTGTCCCCTTTCGGACCCCTTCGCTTGACTGAACTGGAGATCATATTTTCGAATCCATCCCTTGGCGGCCTTCCAGGGACAGCCTTCTTGTTCTCCACCCCCCAACCACCATCATCCCCTGTCCCCAAGGAGCCGGCTCTCCTTTCCCTGCTGAAGTGGCCGCGAGCTGAGGGACAGAGGTTTGAGCAGAAAAACGGCCACCACACTTAACATGACGGGAAATGGTTCCTTTCCTCTTTTATTCTTTTTGAAATTTGTTTGTTTATACAGAGGCTCTTCTTCCGCCTCTCCCGTTACAAAATAAGACATGCCCATGGGAAAAACTGTAGCAAATTCAGAAAACCACGAAGGAGAAAAACAATTATGCATCATCCCACTGCATAGAGATTTTTGTGTTTCTTTCAAGTCTTTTTGTTGTGTATAAAAGCTTTTTTTCTTTGTTATTTTTGGCTGCAGTGGGTCTTCCTTGTTGCCCACAGACTTTTCTTTAGTTGTTGGGGAGGGCGTGGAGCTGGCTGGCTAACTGTCTAGTTTCCATGTACCTGCTTCTCATTGTGGTGGATGCTATTGTGGAACACAGACTCTAGGGTGCAAGAGTTCATTAGTGGCTTCTGCGCTTAGTTGCTCCTTGCATGTGGGAACTTCCCAAACCAGGAATCAAACCCGTGTCCCTTGTACTGGCAGGTGGATGCTTAACCACTGGGCCACCGGGGAAGTTCTATATAAGCTTTATAATAGGATTATCACATCATGCATATATATGTATGTATATATATAATAAGCATCATGCCACTTAATCTGTAGTAAGCATTCCCCCTCACCCCATAAGAATTCTGTTTAATTTTTAAATATTAAAAACCTGTTTTGGTTGTGAAAGAAATACGTGCCCATAGTAACAAAACCAGAGAGTATATGTAAAGTTTAAAAAAAACCAATTCTTCCTCATCCTGCAGCCCTAGCTGCTCTCGAAAGCAGGGGCCAGCGAATCCAGCCCGCAGGCGCCTGTTTTGTAGGCAGCTCACCAGCCAAGAATGGTCTTTACATTTTTAAGTGGTTGGAAAAAAATTCTGAAGATAAATATTTTGTGACATAGGAAAATTGTATTAAAGTTACATATCCTCTTCCATAAGTAAAGCTTTATTGGATCATGGCCAGCCCATCTGTTTATGTCTTGTGTATGACCAGAGGGCCCATAAAGCTGAAAATGTTTATCATTTGGCTGTTTCAGAAAAAGTTTGCCAGCTTGTGTAAACGGTTTGATGCACATCCTCCCAGACTTTCAGTTAGATAAAATAGATACCCATGTACAAACACGGTAGTCTTTTAGGGGTGGGGAAATTTGAAAAACTTAATTCACAGCATGCACATTTTTTTGCAGGAGTGTCATTTATTCATCTACAGATGAATGGTTCCTTCCCTGCATCTCCTCCAGATTTTTGTTCAAAAACAACTTCCCGCATCACCCTTATTAAAATTGCAACTCCCCACCCCACCCCCATCTCAGTATCCTTCCCCCTTTGCTTCCACGTGCTCACAATACAGCACATAGCATTTTACTCATATCGGTCGGGACCCTAGAATCTGGAGCAAGGATCGTTGTTTTCCCTCACTCCTGCCCGCACCACCCCCCCCACCCCCAGCTCCCGGCCTGCAGATTGCAATGCTTCTGTGTGCCTGCATCCCAGGCGCATGTACAGGTGTGTGGGGGGATGGGGGGCAAAATTCCCTCTTGCGCGCATGCGCTAATGTGGCAGTGTCTCCGCTTTCCCTGCAGACACGGCTCCTGGTCACGCACAGCATCAGCTACCTGCCCCAGATGGACTTCATCATCGTTATGAGTGGTGGCAAGATCTCCGAGATGGGCTCCTACCAGGAGCTGCTGGCTCGGGACGGCGCCTTCGCCGAGTTCCTGCGCACCTACGCCAGCGCCGAGCAGGAGCACGGGCAGGCGGATGACGGTAGGGTTGCGCGGGCCTTGAGTGAGAGTGGTGCCCGGTCAGCCCCAGATCTCCCCTGAAAGTTCCCCCCAGCCGCCCTGGAAGCTCAGGAGGGCATCAGGTGGGGGGCTGGGCCAGGTCCTCTCAGGAACCATCTGGAAGGACTTTCAGGACTGAATTGAGAGGGAGTCCCAATACCTTAGAGAGCCGGGACCGCAGAACTGAACGCAAGTCCCAGTCCTTTCGGGCAGTATATCTCTGGGGCTGTGGCGTTTCGGGGGTTTCATGGCGAATATGCAGGTGGTGACAGTTACAGGCCTCCTGGCTCCCAAGAGGCTGTGAGAGGCCGGTGGAACGTTCACGGCGTTGGCCAGTTGCTCAGGCGTAGCCGACTCCTTACCACCCCGGGGACTGCAGCACCCGGCCTTCCCTGTCCCTTGCTGTCTCCCAGAGTGTGCTCACTTTCATGCCCACTGAGGCAGTGACACGGGTCGTGAGGTCACACCTGGTGGCTGAGCCTGCAGGTTGGAGGTTGGCAGGACCTGAGTTCCGGTCTCAGCTGCTGCTCTTTCCAGCCGTGTGATGTCTGGCCATTCCTGATGAAGCAGTGAAGCAACAGACCCGACCTTCTGGCGCCTGAATGTGCTAGATTACTGGGGCCTTTGGCACGGTGCCAGTGACAGCTGCTGCTATTACTTTTCTTGGGAAGAGTGCTCCCTGATACCCCACGCATGTGGCATCTGCCAGGTNTTCATTTGAGAGAAGACAGTTTTTCTTCTTGTTGTTTGCTGCTGCTGCTGCTGTCGCTTCAGTCGTGTCTGACTCTGTGCCACCCCATAGACGGCAGCCCACCAGGCTCCTCTGCCCCTGGGATTCTCCAGGCAAGAATACTGGAGTGGGTTGCCATTTCCTACTCCAGGGGATCTTTCCTATCTAGGGATTGAACCCAGGTCTCCTGCATTGCAGGCAGTTTCTTTACTGATTGAGCCACCAGGGAAGCCCCATTCTTTCCTTTAGTTGGTTTGAAATTCAGGGAATCGGTCGCAGCCTCTGTGGGCTGCCCTGTGTTTATGTCAGATGGGCATCTGGAATGGATCCTCTGCTGGTGCTCCCCCCCGCCACCAGGAGCCTTGACCTGCCTTACCACAGAGAGGAAAGAAGTCATCTGATGCCTTTTCTGCTTTGGTTTCAGCTGTTGCTAAAAAGAGTGGAACCAAAGCGAGATCGCCTGTCCTGCTGTGATCTCTCTCTTCCAGGAACTAATTACAGACTCCCTGGGCCCTGGGGCGTGTTCGTTACATGCTCAGTCCCCAGGCAGGTCTCAGATAGGCTGTTCCCCCTGCCCCCCGCCCTGAGTTGGGGCTGCAGTTCGCCCTGTTGCACAACTCTCATGGGCAGAGTTGTCATCGGGGTGTCTGTGATGTGAAGACACACACATCAGTGAGTGAGTGTTGACTGCTTACCAGGGCTTCTGTCCCCGACTGGGGTCATCACGTTGGCTCACTCACTCCTCCTCACAGCTTCTCGTGGAGGAGGGAAGATGACGGTGCCCAGTCCACTGGTGAGGAAACTGAGGCTTAAAAGAAGCTTGTCCTGGGATTTCCCCGGTGCTCCAGTGGTTAGGACTCTGTGCTTCCACTGCAGGGGGCTCAGGTTCAGTCCCTGATAGGGAAACTGAGATCCAACTTGTCAAGTGGTGTGGCTAAAAGTAAAAAAACAAAACAAAACGGGGTCTTGTCCCTCATGTGCCAGGGGCAGGCGGGTCCCTGTCTCTGTGAATGTGGCTGAGCACTAAGAAAGCTATTTACCATTCACCGATTTAGTCATTCAGTTGGTGTTCACTGGGCACTCAGCTGTGTGTTAAGCACTTGCGTTCTTCTCCTAGGGCTGCTGTAACGAGGGTCCCACTAGCTTGAACAGTGGGAGTGTGTTGTCTCACAGTTCTGGAGGCTGGACGTCTGAGATCAAGTGGCAGCCTTCTGCTGAGGGCCGGGAGGGTTCCATGCCTGTCCCCCAGCGTCTCGTGGTTGGCTGGCACTCTGTGGCCCTCCTTGGCTTGCAGGAGCATCAGCCAGTTCTGCCTTCGTCTTCACACGGTGTTCTTTTTGTTTGTGTCTGTCTCCAGATCTCCCCTTCTTATGAGGCACCAGTTATACAGGGTTAGGGTCGATGCTCAGGAGCTCATGTGGACGCTTAGATCTGCAGAGACCACGGCTCCACATGCGGTCACATCCCTAGGTACTGGAGGTCAGAACTTCAACGTATGAATTTGGTTGGTGGGGGATGTAGTTTAGACCTTAAACTAGTAGCGTTCTAGATTTGGGGGAGACAGAAGTGAGCAAGATCCAGGCAAGTCCTGCCCTCACGGAGCTCAAGCGTCTGGTGGGAGAGAAGGCAGTCCGCAGTCAGCCAGTGGAAATGGTTTTGTGCAGCACTAAGTGCTGTGAGGAGAGCACGTCGGGTATTGGGCTGGAGAGTTGGGGCTTCAGGCCCCGCAGGCCGCGTGGTCAGGGTTCCCTCTGTGGGAGCAGCATTCTGACACGGGTAATGGCACAGGCCTCAGCCCGGCATGAGCTCAGTCTGTTCAAGGAACAGGGAAGAGGCCAGTGTGGCCACACCTTGGTGGGCAAGGGCTGAGGGTGGGAGACGGGGCTGGCAAGGGGGTTACCCGTCCGGGTCTTTCAGCGTGAGGAGTTTGGGGTTTGTTCTCAGTGCAGCTGGGAAGCCGATGAATGTCAGAGAGCGGAGGGCCCACAGGGAGAATGCACAGCTTCATTCCTCTGCCTGAGAGTTTGCTGGATCCTCATGGTTTGAGGTTTTTCTTTTTTTTTCTTTTCTTAATGTGAGCCATTTTTTCTAAAGTCTTGATTGAATTTGTTACAGTGTTGCTTCTGTTTCCTGTTTTGGTTTTTTGGCCCCAAGGCATGTGGGATCTTGGCTTCCAAGCAGGGATGGAACCTGTGCCCCTAGCATTAGAAGGCAAAGTGTTAACCACTGGACCACCAGATAAGTCCCCCTAGTGGTTTTTAATAAGCCCTTTATTGAGATATGATTCACACATCATATGATTCAGTGAGTTTTAAAAATACTCCAATATTTGATTTGTGCAGCCATCACCAAGATGAATTTCAGAACAGTCTCACCCCCTCGAGGAAACCTCACATCCATTGGCAGTCACTCCCCATTTCCTCCCCGCCCTCTAAGTCCTAGGCAACCACTTAATCTGCTTTTTTTTTCCTTCTGATTTTTGAGTTGTAATTTCTACTGATTTGTAATTTACAGAGAGCACTGTGTAAGTCTGAGGCATGTGATTTGACTTAGTACATCCTGAAATGTGACCATAGTAAGTTTAGTGTACATCCATCATTTCATATAGATGCAAAAGTAAAGAAATAGAAAACGAATTTTTTTTTCCTGTGATGAGAGCTCTTAGTAATTACTAAGCAGTTTTGGTTATATTAATCATGTGCATTATATTTCTAGCAATTATTTATTTTATAACTGGCAGTTAGTGCTTCTTGACTACCTTCATCCAATTCTTGCTACCCCCACCATCTCTGGTGACTGCAAACCTGATCTTTGTTTCTATTTTGTTTTTAAAGCATAATTTACCTACAACACTGTGTTAGTTCCTGGTGCACAGTATAGTGATTTGATATTTCTATATGTCACAGTGATCACCACAGAAATCTACTTTCTGTATAGATTTGTCTTACTCTGACCATTTCTATATGAACAGAATTCTTTTGTGACTGGCTTCTCTCACTTAGCATGATGTTTCCGAGATCCGTCTGTGGAAGCTTGCAGCAGCACTTCATTTCTTCTGATTGTTGAATCATATTCCATTGTGTAGACACACCACATTTTATTTATCCATTCATCAGCTCATGAGCATTCGAGCTGTCAGTTTTGGACTATTATGAATAGTGCTGCTGCGAACCCTAGAGGTTTTAAAAGAAAAGGGTGTTCTTTTGCCAGTGTGAGATAGCCGGCTTTCCCTCTTAGCATTTAAACTCCCGGTCGAATGAGTTTCCACATGTCTATGCTCCTGTGGTTGGAAAGTTCTGCTGGAAGTCTAACCAGCTCTCGTCTTGCTACAGAGTCTTCTTTCTCAGATTGTCTCTTAGCCCAAGTCAAGCCAAGGTCACACGAAACTTAGAGGCAATTTTGAGATAACTATGTTTCCTCCACCTGCTTGGTGGGCTACATTTAGGCAGAAAGAACCCTCTGTGGATGTATCTCAACTTTTTTCCGCAGAAGGAATTCTCTCTCTTCTCCCCGTTCTGTCCAGGTGAGCAGGGACTGTCCTTACACCCTGTTGGCCACAGAAGGGATTTTTTTTCCCCCCTCTCTTCATCCCCAGCCACACGTATATCCAAAGCAGATTATGCAGAACATGGGTTGCTGCCAATTAAAAAATTTTTTGTGTGTGCACATCAGCATTTAATTCAGTGGTAAAATTACCATCCGGTGCTCTTGCACTGCTCTGAGGTCATTTCCCCAGTTTAGCCACTCAGCCCCCTGCTGGGCAGGTCACAGAGGTCCTCTGACTGTGGGTCTGAAATCAAACTTGCTCTCCTCTCCCCCGCCCCACTTTTTGCCTCTCTGGAGGGACCCTGACGATAAGGCTTGGCGTCAGGGTCCAGCCGCGCTCAGCTGTAGCCAGTGCCAGTGACCTTGGATTTGTCTGAAACACAGTTTTGTCTCCTTCTAAAGGGAAACTTTTGTTTCCGTGTTGGATTAATCAGGTCTTTTGCAGGACACCCAGGCTGGAGGACGTGTGTTTGGTTTGGGGGAATTCTGTCTGCCTCAGGTGGAGAACGGGAGCTAGGCTTGGAGTGGTGGGGGGCAGCTGACTTCCTCCCTGGGAATATGCCTTATCCTGTTTCTAGGAGACTTTTTGTTTGTTGGCAAAGAGATTGACAAAGTGGTTCATTAACCTTTGTACCTGGAAGGTATAGAACATTTTTATTTACTCTGGTGACCATTAGGAACCTAAAACCTAGAATGGCAGTTTTCAA